AACACTGAAGCAGTTCCAAATGGCTTCAGTCAGGTCACCTCAGGGTTGACACACATCCGTTCACTGATTCATGTGTTTTTGCTTTTAGGAAAAGGAGCAACGTTTGTCCCTCTCTATCAGTAGAAGACATAATGAGCAACACCACTCCGGGCAATCCAGGCTTTCATAACTATACTGAGTACGATGAATATTATGACGATTATGACAATGCAAGCTATAAACTAGAAAGAGCCATGCATATTATCGCCATGGTGATCTATAGTCTTGCGTTTGTGCTGGGGGTCGTTGGCAACGGGTTGGTTATCTTCATCACCGGCTTCCGAATGAAGAAGACGGTCAACACGGTTTGGTTCCTCAATTTGGCCATTGCGGACTTCGCCTTTACTTTCTTCCTTCCCCTGAGTGTTGCTTATTTAGCCCTGAGATTCCACTGGCCCTTCGGTGAGATTTTGTGCAAGGTGAACAGCACCGTGGCCTTCCTCAACCTCTATGCCAGCATTTATCTCCTCATGGTCATCAGTATTGACCGTTGCATTTCTGTCTGGAATCCGGTCTGGGCTCAGAATCACCGAACCCCTCGGCTGGCTTCTTTTGTGGCCTTGGCTGTGTGGATCTGGGCCTTGGTGTTGTGTTCTCCAGTTATGTATTTCAGGCAAACTGCCCCGCTGGATGGCCTGCCGGAAGGAAACAAGATTAACTGCTATACCAATTACGGTGAAGACCCAGCATTGAAAACCATGAGACATCATGCCATGATCATCACTCGATTCATCTTTGCCTTCGTCATTCCCTTCACTGTTATCCTTGTCTGCTACGGGGCAATTGTCTCGAAACTGAGACGCAATCAATTGTCTCAATCTAACAAACCCTTTCAGGTCATCACTGCAGTGATTGTTGCTTTTTCTGTCTGCTGGTTCCCTTATCATCTTTTCACTTTCTTTGAGTTAAAAGGACATATAGAGGTGCTGAGGTTCGGTGTTCCCTTAGTAACAAGCCTGGCTTTCATCAACAGCTGCCTGAACCCCATTTTGTATGTCTTCATGGGCCAGGATTTCAAAAAGAAACTGAGGCAGTCCCTCTTTACTATATTTGAGAATGCCTTTACTGAAGAGAACAGCCAGAACACATTAACTAATAAGACTAAATCTTCAATGGAGACCCTGTCCCAGGAGGTCTGAGACCTACCTGACTCTTTTGGTATATCCTCAAACCCCCAGAACTTTAACCTTAAATTGTCTACCGTGGACCTCATCCCATTCCTAAGAGGTCTGTAAGGGGGGGCGTGCATAAGCTGTTTCCGTTTATTCATACTCATTTATTATGTATATACTTATACCTGTTTATTCTTATATGTTATGTTCATACTTATACTTGTTTTCTCATACACGCTTGAGAAACTAAACTGAATAAATAAATAAATAAATAAAATATCTCGATTCTGAAAACCCTCCCCAAGCCAGGTTATCAAATGAACCGCTTCTGAATCTTCTTTGCATTGCTCCACATTGCCCCATTAGCTGAAGGTTCCTTGCTTTGTGGTTTGATTCTTTGAGGAACATCTGAAGAACCCATCACGAAACCAACTGCCTGGATGTAGAAATGGCACCTTTGCAACAGTGGAAAATATCTGTTGCTCGGGTGTGGAAGGAGGGTGAAAGTTCATTCTCCAAGCTTGTGGGCTGGTTTCCGAACGTTTCATTTCCAGGCTAGGTAACATACCCAGTAGAGTTTGGAGCAAAGGTCTCCAAACTTGGCAACTTTAGACTAGTGGACTTCAACTCCCAGAATTCTCCAGCCAGCTGGCTGGAGAATTCTGGGAGTTGAAGTCCACCAGTCTTAAAGTAGCCAAGTTTGGAGACCCCTGGTTTAGGGGATGGGACCTTTGTGCGTAGCTAATAAAGATGCTCCATTAATGCATTTCTGTAATCCTCATCTGGTTCCCACTAAAAATAGGTATATGCGTTTCCATGAAAACCCACAGATCACACTGGATTTCAGCTAAAATCCCTTGCAATCTGATCATCAACATAAATACAATTACTATGCTTAGGAAACATAAAAGGAGTGCATGGAGAAACATGGAGGACATGGACACTTGGAAAGTGTCCATGTATATGCACACACACACACACACACACACACACACACACACACACTGTATGTCAGCATTCCAAGTAATGCAACCATAGAAAGCAGAAGTCCAAGGCAGGTAAATTCCTCAACAAACGATTTATTGGATACATCCTATTGGCACAACTGGTGAAAACCAATTCTGAAAGTTCCGGCAGTTTTCACCAGATTAAAAAGTGAAAGTTTCCCCTTCCCCCAAGTTATCAGTCACATTGTCCAATGGAGGTGCTGGCTGGTTTGCTGGGTTACTCCATCCCTCCTCTCTCCAACCACCTGTTGGAATGTCCTTGGTTCCCACGGGAAAACTTGTTTTGACCACAAAGCCCCAGCTATCTGTTTTCCTCCTCCCTGTCCCTTCTTCTTGCTTGTGGCAACTGGAAAGCCTCCAAGATGGCCTCAGCCAGGTCCACTTCAGGGTTGACACTGTATGTGTACACACACACACACACACACACACACACACACACACACAGGTCTACACGTATATGGAATTACTTTTTCCAGCATCAGAAAAACTGGCTTTTCCATCACTATATTTTTCCAACGAATCTTTATTTTCAATAACATATTCCAGTGATAATATAGAATCAACGACTACCCGCTTTTCAAATTTCCACTTGGTCCAGTTGTACATCATGTTCACTTTAGTTTGTAATAACTAAATGGCTTATCCTCTTGTGCATGCTCAACCCATTTGATCCCTCAATGATTGTGTGGATTATGCAACCTCCCAATGGGTTAATTCAGAAACCAGGTTAGAAAGACAGATTGCCAGGCAGTGTTTGTGCCATAATTAGAGCCATGGTGGCACAGTGGTTAGAATGCAGTATTGCAGGGAAACTCTGCCCACAGCCAGGAGTTTGATCCTGAGGAGCTCAAAGTTGACTCAGCCTTTCATCCTTCCGAGGTTGGATAAAATGAGGACCCAGATTGTTGGGAGCAAACTGCTGACTCTGTAAACTGCTTAGAGAGGGCTGCAAAGCACTGTGAAGCAGTATGTAAGTCTAAGTGCTATTGCTACGGCTGTTAAATGTAAGATGGGAAGGTCCTTTGAAATATGGAAACAAGATCATTTTGCCATCAAAAGCACTCTATCTCTTGAAAGTTTGTGAAACCTACAGCTTCACATATAAATATAGCTAACAGAATTATGTAACTGACCTTTAAATAGTTTTAAACTTCCTAATAGACTTGAAGTCAGACCAGCCCTAAATAACCAGCCAAAAAAGCAATCAGAAAAGGTAATCATTATCCAATTTTTACAATTCTTTTTCATAGCTGGTGCATAAGATTATCAACAGAAATTAGGATACACATAATGCATATTATATAATACATGTTACACAAATAACGATATGGAGAATAGCAAGCCAACTCTATCCCAGTAAATTCATCTCCCAGAATTTAATGCTTTTGAAAGCTGCTACATCATTACTGGTTTAGGGCAGAGGTCTCCAAACTTGGCAACTTTAAGTCTTGCGTGGACTTCAACTCCCAATTGAAGTTGAAGTCCATAAGCCTTAAAGTTGCCAAGTTTGGGGAGCCATGGTTTAGGGTATATCCTGGGAATAATAAGCCAATATATCTGGAGGCCAAAGACTGTAAAAGGCTGTAATAAACAGTAGGAAAGAATAAACATTAGAAACTTTGAAAAATGACAGATTTGTTGAAATGGACACAGAGGATTCATTCTATTGAAAAGTGCAGAATGCCACCACTGAAAAGGCCCTGTTTCAGAAATATCCATTAAACTCATCCAAGAATAATGTGTTCATTTGCAGAATTTGGGTTTGCTGCTGGTGGTGGGGAGGCCACTCAGAACACACATGGGTGTTCTGCTTTGTACAAGTGTCAAAGTGTGCTCACACGATTTGCTTAATCTGATTCCTGAATTAACCCAGGTTCTGGTAATAACCATGTGGCTGAGTTCAGTCAGCACAACGAGCCACCAGAATCCTAACCAAGATTAATCCTGATCAAGTTCAGTGTGTTCTGCAATTGTGTCTCCTTGGTCATTACTTGGCTTGGCTAACTTGTTGTTTGAATGAAGCCATAAGAAACTATGGAGATTCTCAGTCATCCAAGTCATGGTTGTCCCAAAGGTGCTTTTTTAAAAGGCAGCTGGATTTTGTTTTTTCTTGAAGACATTTCGCTTCTCATCCAAGATGCTTCTTCAGCTCTGAAGATGCTTCTTGAATGAGAAGTGAAACAGCTTCAAAGAAAAATAAAGTCCAGTTGCCAGAGGTGGTATTCAGCAGGTTCTGACCAGTTCTGGAGAACCGGTAGCGGAAATTTTGAGTACTTCACAGAACTGGCAAATGCCCCCTCTGACTGGCCCTGATCCCATCTATTCTCCACCTCCCGAGTCCCAGTTGATTGTCTGGGTCTTCTTTGGTTGCCCTGCACAGGAGAACGGAGCTGAAAAGCAGGTTAGTGGGGTGGGGAGGGAATGGGATTTTGCAGTAACCTTCCCCTGGATTGGGGTAGGAATGGAGATTTTTACAATATCCTTCCCCTGCCACGCCCACCAAGCCACAGCCACCAAGCCACACCACGGTGACCAAGCCACACCACGGTGACCAAGCCACGCCCATAGAACCGGTAATAAAAACATTTGAATCCCACCATTGCCAGTTGCCTTTTGAAAAAGCATCTTTGGGAAGCCATAAGAGCTGCTAACACTTAAAAAAGTTAATAATAACAGTGCTAATGGTTGCAACTAAGACCTAGTTGACTTCTAACTTTGTGGCTTAGCTCCATTTGGTTAGTTTACAGTTTGCTGTGTTATGTGAATCAAGATAACGGGTGACTTCAGGAAGTATACTGTGTGATTACAGCTATAGGCATAGTCTCGGTATAAGAAGAATAACTCACACCATGCTGGATTCCCCTATTCCTGAAGTAGAACCAGAATTCCTATTACTTGAAAAAAAGGACGTGGCCCAGTTTTCACTAAAAGCACTTTTGAAGGCTGAGAGGAAGGAGCGCCAGCTAATTTTTCTAAAATCTGGACACACGAAAGCATATAAGAATGGATTGAGGCAGCTGTTGAGACACACCAAACCATTAGCCAACGGCAGCCCAATATCAATGACGGCTCTCATTTCGAAGCTCCCATCAGCCAAGTTCTCTAGAATGGAGAAGACATGGTGAGGGAACCAACAGCAGAAGAACGCTACCACTACCGCCATGATGATCTTGAAGGATCTACCAAACTGATGAAAGAGCTTCCCTCTGAGCTTAAAGACAATGATGCAGTAGCAAGCCAAGATGATGTTGAAGGGGATGAAGAACCCAATTACAAATTCAGTCACCACCATAGAAAGATGGGACCTGTGGCTGCTGGACTCTTCCAAGCTAAAGCTATAGAAGCACTTTATAGAGTTATCCATATCATATTCCGTATCCCGGAAGTAGAAGTAAGGGGTGCTGAGTCCCAAGGCCATCATCCAGATAAGGACAACTATTAAGGAAGCCAACCGAAGCGTACGATGGTTCAAGGACCAAACGGGACACACTACAGAAACACAGCGGTCAACACTGATGGCTGTCAAGAAGAAGACGCTGGCAAACATGTTTAGGAAGGACACCACAGTGTCCAGTTTGCAGAGTAGCCGGCCAAGAATCCATTCATCGAGGGCAAAATAGAGCAACTCTGAGGACAGAGAAAGGTCATAGATGAAATCAGCTAGAGCCAAGTTGAGGTACCACATGGTAGTTATTGTCTTCTTCATTTGGAAACCAGTGAGGAAGATAACAAGACCATTGCCGATGGTCCCAAAGAGTAAAGTGGTGCTGTAAATCACCATGGAAACCACATGCATTGTGCTTGAGGTTTCAGTATCATCATACAAAATCTCAGAATCATTCCAGCTGAAATTATAGGTGTCATTCTCAACGGAATAACTATACAGAACAGAAGTGAAGGGATCCATCCTTCTGAGATTTGGCCCTTTTTCTTCTTCTGAGCCTAAAAGATAAAAAAAAAAAGGTATTTCTTTCGTGTGAGAAGTGAGCAAAGAGGAAGAAGAAAATGGTGGCAGAGTTCTGATGGCCAACTTTCAGAGTTCCATGCCCGAAACCCAATTTTGTATTTCAAAATGAAACTTTGGGGGGAATCCAGGTATTTATTTATTGAATTTCTATATCGTCACCCCTCTTAACGAGTGACTCATAGGCAGTCTTCACCCTAAAAACATAAAACAATAAAGTAATTAAAACAATACAGAATCAAAATATACGGTTGCCAAGTAAAAACTATTGCCATGGATGTTAACATAACCATGAAATGGGGCCCTTAACCCATTTGGGGCCCAGAACTGAGCATATTTCATTTCCTGGATATTTCTGATATGATATTTATTCCTGCATAGACCAGGGGGGGGGCTTCAAAATTTTTAGCAAAGGATTCTCTCTGCCCGGTTGCTGGGTGCGTGTGGCCATGGTGGGCGTGGCCTAGTCAGCCTCCTGCACCACAGTGGGGGCGGGGGGGCGTTTTTGCCCTCCCCGGGCTCCGGAGGCTCTCTGGAAGCTGGAAACTGGCCCATTTACGGCCTTCCCGAACTTCCAGGAGGCCCGTTTTTCACCATCCCCAAGCCTCTGCGTGGGCCCTGCACTTACCTGCATCCAAAATGGGCCATGTAGGGACTCCTGGGAGAGGAGGGGAGGGATGGGTGGGGCTAGCCAGGATTGAGATTTGGGGGTTGTCCGAACTGCACAGAATCTTAGCTAGGGGCTCTCCTGAACCCCTGCGAAGCCCCAACAGCCCACCCCTGGCATAGACTAATATTTAGTATAGAACTCAGGGACTATGCCTTTAAAGCAGGGGTGTCCAACCTTGGCAACTTTAAGACTTGTGGA